GTTAAAAAAAAATATAAACCTTCACATCAAAACACCTACTGACCTACATTGCTATTTATCGTTCATTTTTAAATCAAAACCTCTCATTGATAAACCAACTTTTCATTTTTTTTAAATTATAATTCATTATTATTGAATTTATACTTACCACAATCATTTTATTTACATGTTTCTATCTTTAATAATCAATATAATTAAAAATTATGTTTTTTTTTATTTTTTGTAACTTTTGCTTTCCATACTTGCCCTATCTAAAAGATAAATAAATAGACTTATCTAAAAGTTACAAAAAATAATTAAAAAACATAATTTTAAATTATATTGATTGTTAAAGATAGAAACTTGTAAATAAAATGATTGTTGTAAGTATAAATTCAATAATGAATTATAATTAGAAAAAATGAAAAGTTGGTTTATCAATGAGAAGTTTTGATAGAAAAATGAACGATAAATAGCCATGTAGGTGTTTTGATGTGAAGGTTTATAGTTTTTTTAACTTCACAATATTTTGCTGTGAAGCTTTAAATTTTGTGGTCTCACGGGTCTCACAAAAACAGGTTGAGTTCAAATGTGTATATATATATACACACACACACTGGATCATGTGAGATCATATTGTTTTCGTGAGACCCATGAGACCATATTTTGCGAACCAAACGCCCCCTTAGTGTCACTTATCGAATTGAATTCTTTTGGACATCGTAGTGACACCCGATGTTAATCTTCACCTAGTACCGGTTTAGATTATTAGGTTGTTATCTACTATTAGTAATTTTTGATGTAAACGCTTTACATTTCTCGATTTTGAGTGATATTTGTTAATTAAGTAAGTTTCCTTATTTATTTTTGGGCTTAAATTTACTCCTACTTTAGGGGTGTTACAGACAAATCCTTTGGTTATCCCTAACAGATAACTTTTTTGTTTGTCAATGATTCATCAGAATTTCAAATAATTTAATATAAAAAGCTTGTTCCCAAAAAGGAGCCCTAATCCTGATCGCACCTTAATCCTGATGTTAGTCCCAAAGGGGTTCTACAAGAGTAAACAGTTAGCAAAAGGGGGGAATGGATACAAACACAAATTTTACTTTTTGAATTCATTTATTGACTAAGAAGAACCAATATGAGAATCTACAAATTGTTGTGGAGATAGATAAGAATTTTTTTTATTCTGAACAATCTATGATAATCACTAGACTTGTCTCTGCATAGAAAAAAGTAAGAAAGAATAAGAGAGATAGAAGAATGTTGAAAAAGTAGCTGAGAAGGAGGGTTTTCTCTGCTATTTATATCTACTTCATTAAATACACCTCATAAGGTACAATCCATGTCTTAAGAAGGGAGTGAAATACATGTCATTGTCCATCAGATATGACAGGCTTTTGGCCGCATATGAACAATTGCTTCAGGTAGTTGGTGAGCATGTTTAGAGACAACAAAGTGATCCATACTGTATTATTTGTGGTAAAGGCAAAGGATATGTACCTCTGCGTAAGAGGATAAAACAAAACAATCTTGATGACAAGATATTAATCCGACTATAGAGATGAGTGGTTGAGGAGTCCTTCAGTTGTTGCTGATACTTGGTCAGATTTCACATTTGATGTAGACAGTCATGGTATTACTACATGTCGCTTCAGATCACAAGTAGACTATCTTTCTCTTTAGCTTTATCTTCGATATCACTAAATCTTCTTTGATGTTAGTTTGTCTTTAAGGAAACTAAAGTTCTAATAGATTTACAAAGAGATGTTCAGTGATCACTAAACAGATTCAGATACAACCTGATTGCTAAAACTATAAACTAAGTAGAACTACGTATTACAACTAAGTATATGATCATCATCAAATCACTGAGAGAGTTTAGATCAACATCTGATCGCAGTCCCAAATCAGTAGAACTAGATCGAGCCCCCTACTCTATATTCGACCCAAACCAATATTGCTAGCAACCACACCTTTATCCTCTTTAACCACAACCACCTTCATCATCTTCCACCACCACCACCACCTTCAAGGGGGTAGAATCGACCTTAAACACCGGCTATTTATAAAATGTAATACGTAGCTATGTATTTACTTATAACACACACAATTTGAATGTGCATCACAATGCCTAACTAATGCCTCGTATGTGTTTGTTTTAAAATCTACATGATTTAATGTTAGGTTTTGTCTTATTTACTCATTTTATTTCCTCTTCTTTTCAAGCTATATGCTTGTTTTTTGGGCCTCCAATTCATCTAGGTTATATGATCTAACCTTTATAGATCATCTAACATACTTATAGATATTGTACCATAGGTTTGGGATAAAAAAATCACAAAACAAACCCTCAGAAGTTGGATCCCGCATTGACCCGTGCCATTTTTGGCCTAGACTTTCGCATTGGTTGTGCGACCCTTTCTAGTCACACAACATGGGTAATGCCACCTTTACCCTAAACTCACATGTTCTGTGTGATAGCTTATGGAACTTCATGCACGACTAGTGCTCTTCTCCCATGTTTTGGCACGGTTCGTGCCTCCTTACTAGTAGTCTCTCCCTCGGTTTTTCCTTCTTTTACTCCCTATACTAATTGCTAGAACACATAAGACTTGAAAACAACAAATTTCTAGACTCGTTTTAGTACATATATGTCCAAGTACATGTATTCTACGTAACCATAAATTCTTTTCTTGGTTTCCAAACAAATGGCAAACTTACATCCAAAATCAGGAGCTCACAAAGGCACAAATATTCTACAATCTTCGCGCTTGAACCTGAACCTTGAATCCCGACTTCGAGAACGTATCTGAAAAGTTTGAAGGAGAAATCTAAAGCAATCAATTAAACGAATATATAATTGTTCAAATGAAATGTATTGGAATTGGAACGTATGCTTTTACAATAAAATGGTATATACTCAACCTAAACCTAAAGACATTTTTCATCGATTATCATACCTTGAATCGTTTGGTCATTGGAGCAGTAGCAAGTAGTTAGGTTGTAGACGATAAGGTGAATTAATCTCAAACGTTTATAAGTTTGAACTTATGGTTGTTGGTCCTTCATAATGCTCCCTCTGACAGTGTTTTTTAGAGCAACAATTACCAAAATAATGTCATCGGGAGATGGGGACATAATGGAGGTCGCCAGATGGGGAACGGGGAAGGGGCGTCGAGAAAAGGGTTGAGGATATGCAGGTTATATATATAATAGATTATTATTAGTTTTTAATATAGAATTAGATAACATGGTAAAAATATTAAAATACCTCCTACTTAACAAACTTTCTTAATGGAGTTAGTTCAAAGGATGAAAACAACAAGAAATTACATACCACAATGATGAAAACCGTAATTTCAAAATATAAAAGACAAAAATATTAATTTTCAACAAACCACAAGGACAAAAAACGTAAGTTTATTCTATATTTTATTAAGCGGATTAAAAAACATTTATAATATATCATATTTTTACCATCTCCTTTAACAACACAAGAATTACACACAAGTTTAAAAAAAGTTATGAAGGCAAAATTGTCTTTTCGTTTAAAAAAAAAGAGAGGTTCCACCTTGGTCTATTTTTCCACCTGCTCATACCGTTTTCAACGTGATTTAGTCTAAAACCTATTTCATATTTACATATGTCTCATTCCATGTATCAAATGCAATCATAAAAACACCACGAATACATGATGATTCGTTGTAGCGTTGTGCCATCTCCCGTCCAACGAGCTGCACATGAACTAATCATGTCATTTCATATAAATTACACATGGATTCGAACATTTGTTTAAGACGAGATAATGATGATGCTCTCTATTACAAGGATGACAAGATGGGTTTTTGTGGGGTCTTGTTTTGTACAAGACATATAAAATATCAAAAACTGACTTGGGGGGTCATTTACCTAAATTTATCGAGTAAGAGTTACCACTCTCACTTGTCTTATTAGACAAAAATGTTGGTTATCAAAATGGCATAAAAAGCAGTAATCTTACTTTGTAAACACTAACCGAATAAAAATCTCCGCCCTCAGTTACCGGAAAAAAAAAATTATGTTTCCTCCCGTTAAATGCTTACACCCTAACCCTAACAAAAGTTGAATAGACGAAGAACAAAGATGAAGAAAACCCATTGATTCTAAAATCAAAATCTAGAACAAAATATGTTCCTAACCTGATAAAAAAACAGATCAATCAAAATCTGGAACAAAATATGTTCCTAACCTTAAACAAAAAAACAGATCAATGAACAAAGATGAAAAAAAATCTATTTCGAAATTAAATTCCATAACAAGATATGTTCCTAATCCTAATAGAAAATCAAACAAAAGAATGAACATAGATTAAGAAAATCCATTTCGAAATCAAAATCTGGAACAAAATATATTACTAACTAAATCTAACAAAAATCAAACAGAGGGATGAACAAAATCTATTACTCACTAACCCTAATGGAAATCAAATAGAAATTAACAACAGAATAGGTTTTCTGATGCTTCCGAATATCGAAGATGAAGATGAAGACGAACGAAGAAGATGTATTTGTTGATGTTTTTTATGTTAGTTCGGTGACTTGTTTCTCGCTTTGATCTACCATGCATGTTCTCCATAATTGTTGCCCTTTCAAGTTGTACCGCTATTTTCTTTATCTTTAGAGAAGATATTGTTGGTTGCTTTCTGTTACTCCCCAATTTGGGTGTAATAAATTTTACCCAAATCGGTAATAATGAATTGATTATATTACCTAAACCGAACAACATTTTTCATTGCCTATTTATACAAACATCATCAATTATTATCATTCTCATTTATTACCTTATAATCACCAACCCCCTCCCCCTAAGGTCTAATTTAGGTGTGATTCCTTATTTATAGCAGGGGTTGTTATTTGCACTCCCACCCCACCTATTAAAAACATAAAAAAAAACTTACTAATAACGTTAAATGGTCTAAAAATATAGTCTGGACATGGACGGTTAAAGAAAACATAGGAAAAATGTTACATAATTAAATTACTTTTTAAAAACTTTCTTATTACGATTTATTATATAATTTTAAATAAACCCAACATTTTTGGGACATCATAAAAAACCAACGATATCTAAAAAAAGCTAACATGATTTTGCTTTTATAATTTAAAAGAAAATAACATGTTAGCTTTTTGAAATGCCTAAATATTGCGTATGAAAAAAACATGTAAAATAATTAATTTAAATAAATTATAAAAAAAAGTAAAAACCCAATCAACTCTTTTTGCCTTCCTCGCTGCCATCAACCACGTAGGCTTTCTTCCTCCTCTCGGCTGTACCTAACAGACAAATAAGAAGAAAACACGTGGCATAAACAGCGTGAACCTTCCAGCTAGTCTTGGGTGGTTGCCGAAGCACCGCTCTATGGAACACCGTCATGTAATAATGAAGCCCAACAGCAAATCCCACAAACGTCTGACCAAGGCCTAGAAGCTTCGACGCCATGGCCGATTCCGTTGAGAACACCAGCACAAGGTACATCAGAAGAACCAGAAGGTACAAGACGTAAGCGAGAGTTTGCAACAGCTGGATGCATATGTATGTCGATTGTGAAGTCGCATAGAAGAACTTCAATGGCTCCAGGCCGGTGACGATTGAAGAAAGGGAGAGAATCGAGAAGTAGATTGAAAGGTAGATTTGGATGAAGATCACGAGTTTTTGAAGGGAAAAATAGGCTTTGATCCGATTGAAAATGAGAGAAACGAGAAGAAATGGGATTAGGATGAAAGCAAAAGAGATGATAGAAGCAACCATGGGTGCATATTTCTTGCCAACAATGGGGTTGAATCCCTTCGAGATTTGTTTATTGGCTTTGTTGAGATAAGCTTTCGAGGTTGATGAAAGCACTTCCAAATCTGGGAGCAATGTTTCTTGAAATCTGGAAGGTAGATCTCTGAATTCTGAAACGAAATCGTCTTCATCATCATCTTCTCGATAAGTCAAACCACCGACTGGTTTCGTTGACTTTTTCACCTCCTTTTTCACTATTGTGGGTTTGTTCTTTTTTGCTGGATCTGTAGATTTTTGGCTCAAAAGCGAAGTGGGTTTTGTGGAATTCGAACTTTTCAAAATGGGTTTTGTTGAATTCAAACTTTTCGAAATGGGTTTTGTTGAATTCGAAGGTTTGGAAGTGAGTTTTGTGGAATTTGAATTGGAAGGTTTTGAAGTGGCATTAAGCTTCAATTTGACAATGGTTTTCTCTTGAAGCTTATTGATTTTGGTTGAGTTTTTGTTGGCGGTGAGTTTGGTCGAATTGGTGACAGTGGTGGTGGTAGTGGGTTTGATGAGTTTGGTGTTGTTTTTGTTCTTGGTTGTAGCAAGAGCATCAGGAGTTGTAACTAACTTCTTCTTCTTGACTGGTATTTGAATCCCATCTGAATCCTTAATTTCCAACAAATCTCTACTACCCACAAGCTGAATGGATGGTTGAAGAGTAGCAGAAGAAGCTAGGAATGAAATAGTGAAAAATAGAAGCAAAAAGAGTACCTTTTGGAAGTGGAGTGGAGCCATGTTTGGTGAAATCTGTGACTGGTTCTAAGATTCAATGGTGAATTGGATCCGGGAGTTATTAAAGATAGGAGGAAGAGAGGGTGGG